CTTTCATGCATTTGTTTCTAACACATTTATAAGATAATTTCTTTGTTGCTTTGTATGTCCCTCCCCCACAGTATAACCCCTGCTTTCACTGCATTTGATGTCGGTATAATTTGTGGAGGGGAAGGGGAAAAACAAGCCATTTAAATAGGGGTACAGATGGACCCATTGCAACAATGAGATGTACAATTTGTTATGTCAAAAAAGAACTTTACAGCTTTGGTGCGGGGCGGGGAGGGGGGCTGGGAAGGGATGTGAAGGATAAACAAAGGAGGAGGCTGCAATGCTTGATAAGAAATGTACTCATTATCTTGCCTATGTAATTGTAACCCCTCTGTACAGTATGTTCACAAAAAATTAAAATTAAAATAAATTGGCATATAATAATACTAAAGTGCCATAAAATAATCTAAAGTACCTAACACATTGCTTAATGTGTTACAAAAAATGATTATGATCTTGATGGTTTCAAATATTTACCATATAGGAATGATAAATTAAATGCAAAGTTGACTGAAAACAAAGACACCTGATTTCTACATCTTCGTTTTATTTATGGTGTTTTTTTGTATGGGGTTTGGAATCGGTGCTTTGTGCTTGAGAGGCTAGTATTTTATCACTTCAGCCATACCTAGAGCCCTATTTCACATTCATTATTGTTGAGATCGGGTCTTACTTTTTGCCCAGGTACACAAGGTGGAGCTGTACTCCACCTATGTTTCTGCTTCCTGCTGTTGCAGAGATTATGAACATGTGCCACTGAAATCAGCTTCTCTCTTGGGAGATGGAGTCTCTTGGATTGTCTTCTCAGGATGGCCTAGAACCAAGATCCTCCCAATCTCAGCCTCCCAAGCAGCTACAAGCCACTAGCTATATGCATCTCATAGACAATACTAGCCACTCTCCTATCTTTGTTCTTTCTGCCTAACCCAGACACTGATTTACAAAGAAACTTCCAGTCCAGCAGGAAAGCAGTTCCTCTGTCCTTCCCTTTCTTATAATCCTCCTAATCACCTGGCCAATTTACCACATTCCTTTTGCAATTTCATGCCTGCACTCTCAACTACAGAGAAGATAAAGTGAAATGAGCATCTTTCAGAACTTCTGTGACCTTGCACTCAAGATGAAAAGTAATTTTCCATCATTATAGGCAGTTTTACTAAAATAAATGACCTGCCAGAGAGATCACCTATACCTCAGAACCACAGACAAAAGCCAGTAACTCTATCCAACTCACCTTAAGCAACACTTGAGTGCTATTGTCCTGACATCTAAAGCATCACGACATCTGCCTATTTATACTGCTCTCCAAGGTGTGCTAATAGTTCTTGGTTCGTTTCAAGGTTATTGCAAGTAATTTCAGGCACTTGGATGAGTCATAATCCAATTCTTCTCCATTGTTACAGTTCCTGATGGTGTGTGAATGGGATTATTCCTTCCCCAAGTCTTACTTCAATTTGGCTCAAAGAAAATTAATTTTCTTTCTCAGAACACTGTTCCATTAATAAAATGTGAGGCTTATATCAAAACTCAGAACAGACTCTCTGCTTGACAAAGCTGTAGCTCAGAATATTATCCCCATAAAGCCCAAGACTCTAACCTTAAAATGCAAGCCTGTGACAAAAATAACATTTTTTAGGACAAACAGATTTTTTTGTGTAATTATTCCTTTTATTTTTAGAACTCATAATCTTTGCAATCTCCTGGGTGTTAGGGTTATTTTAAGTAGAGAAAGAAACACCTCTTCTAGAATTCTTTAGGAATACTTTATAAACTACTGTTGAATAGCATCAGATATTCAATTATTATAGTTGTTGGTTTTTTTTTTTTTGGTGTGTCATGGGGCTTGAACTCTGGGCCTGAGAGCTGTCCCTCAGCTCTTCAGCTCAAGGCAAGCTCGCTACCACTTGAGCCACAGTACCACTTCCAGTTTTCTGGTGGTTTATTGGAGATAAGAATCTCATAAACTTTTCCTGCCCGGGCTGGCTTTGAACTGTAATCCTCAGATCTCCAACTCCTGAGTAGCTAGAATTACAGGTGTGAGCCACTGGCGTCCAGCTATAGGTATTATTATGAATCTTATTTGCAACAACCAAAATAAAATATATTGATTATATTGGGTACTGTACACCAAATTGTATATTAGTTCTCCCATTTACTCATTAGAACATTCCTATGATCAGGTCCTATTCTTCCTAAAGATGAGACGTTAACTTTGATCACATGATAAGTGCAGACCTTATATAACTAAAAAGCTAACAGGGCAACAGGAAATGTCTAAATCAAGATCTCTTTCTATAGACAAATGGGCACCCAATTGCCTTTCTATTATCTTACTAAAAGGACAGTAGAACTTATGGGGACCCTTGTACAACATCCAAGAACTTCTCATGGTATTAATCGGTTCTTTTTATCATTAAGTAATCGTGCACATTTTCCAACCAGAAAGGATCAAGCTAAATAAAGTTAGATGACATTTAGGGGGAAAAAAATGTTGATTTCAGTTTAAGTTTTCAGGGTAGGATAAGACACTTCAAAATTTTTCTGGTATTCATATAAAATGGTGCTTATCAAAATGAACTTCAAGAATTGGAAACAAGATGTTAATTTTCATTGTACTATTTGCAGTTACGTATTTTTTCTTTCTTTTTCCCCCTTCGGTTTAATTCCCTGTTGCCCCTGTTCTTTATTTCTGTACCCTTTGTCTTGTATATAAGTTTATCTGATTTGGGGAAGGGAAGGGGAATCCCAGAAATGGTGGGACAAAGGGTGAACCAACTCAACAGTGATACTCACTAGACACTATGTTGGAGATGAACTTTACAACTTGGGGGGTAGGGAGGTGGGGAATGAGTGGGAGAAAATAAGGGAGAGGGTAACACTGTTCAAAAAAGAAATGTACTCATTACTCTACTTATGTAACTATAACCTCTCTGTATATTATCTTTATCATAAAATTTAAATTGAAAATTTTCAAATAAAATTTCTGGTATGGATTCACTCCAGGTAATTTATGCCAGTAATTGATTGAGTACCATTAGATACCTTTCCGTGAATTTTTTTCTGCTGCTAAGGCCAAAGCTTTCAGAGTATTTCACATATAGGTGTGGTGGGCAAGGGAAAATTCAGCTGCTGAAGATGAAAGAAAAACCTTTCAGCACTCCCAAAGTATCCTATACAACAAATCACTCCAATTGCTTACAGATTGCACTGGCTTCAACCCAACCAGGATTCCTCTGTTCAGCCAACTTTGTATTGAAAATGATCATCCTGTTTTGGTATTTGATGGTCAATTTCACATTATTTCAGCAATGCTTGATGAAATGCTTTTTGACAAGTTGTACAAATGTTAGTTGCAACTCATTCCACCACTTTCAGCCCAAAGAGTGCTAAGGAACAGAGTTGGGCCATACCAAATGGAATCTAGTTCTTGGCTCATACATATCACAAAGCATTTCAATTTCTTAAGTAGATGCCCAACTATATTTAGCTATATGACCTTTGCCCTTAATAGACAAGGCTCACTACTTTGATCCCAGAACCCTGATTATCTTAATTCCTTTCACAAAAAGAGCTGCCAGAGTAAGCAATTCAGAAAAAAAAAAAAAAGAAAGTATTTTGAGCCAATGCACCTGGACCTTACACTTGTTGGACCCCTCACATTCTCTGGTCCTTAATTCATTTCATTTGTAAAATGAAGGTTTAAACAAGCCTTAATTTTTCTTCTACTTCTATAGCCATAATCCTATGATTAATTTTTCTGTAGTCCATTTTTGGGGAACAAAGACCAGAAGCACTTAATTTTCTGAAGGCTTTGTTCTCAAGGTGATAAACCTACCAAGTTATCATATAGGAAATTAACATTCTCACCCAAGTTCTCTCAGCTGTAAGTCATACTACTATGTCTACAATTTTAAATAGGTTATTCTAAAATAACTGAAAATTAACCATTTGACTGGCTTTATCAATCATAATTTAAAAGAGAGGTAAACTAATTATTATGCAATATAACTATCTTACAGGATATTCTACAAAACTAAGGGTACTTGTGAATATATAATTCCATTTTCAATAGAACTGCAAAGAATATCAGGAGAAAAGTGTCTAGGATATAAAAGCCTATCACTGAAACATGAAACGAAAAAGTCTAGAGGAGTTAAATATTTGTCCAATGTTAAACAGTTTGGATAGAACTAAGGCAACAGAGTACAATATTGCTATCATACTGCCTTAGAGATGAACCATTTTATATTAAGGTACTCTGCACTATGCCATACAGGTAATAAGGGGAATGCAATAAAGCTGTACTTGCCTGAGGCAAAGAAAAGTCTGTTGTTACATGAAAGAACCTCAGAAATGTTTAGTGAAGAGTCCCTGAATTGTATTCTCAAGGTGGATTTACACTTCATGAGATTTTGACATGTGTGAAAGAGACTCAGAAGAAGTCTGCTTGCAATGAAAAGGGTCAAGTGACATCATTCCACTTTCCATCCCCTTCTAGCCAGAAACTCTAAGAAACTGAGGAAAGGGGGACAAAGCAGCTTCAACTTAACTTAGCTTGAAGAACTACAGTGACAACATAAAGAGACTTTTCTAGGACCTCAGTGTACAAACTCTTGAGGGTTCCTGAGTTGCCAGGTAACTGGCTCTCTCTCTCTCTCTCTCTCTCTCTCTCTCTCTCACACACACACACACACACACACACACACACACACACACATATACACACACACAACCAAGGACTTATTAGGAAATTTCCTAATGTACAGCATCCAAACAAAGAAATACAGAATTGTTATAATTACCTCCAAATTAATTATGTCTTGATCTCTATTGATTTCTCACACAATGAGAAATGTGACTATCAACATTCCAACCATCTGAACTTGCCTTTGAACTTATACTAAACAATAAAGAAGCCCAATTGTTTGGATATACATGATTCAGCAACTTCAAACAAGTTGTAAAGCATTACAGCTAAGATGTTAAAGAGGCATACTTACCCAATATGGTTGGTTCTTAAAGAAATTTCCAGTTCTCTTAGCACTTGTGTAGATTCTTGAACACGCCTTCTGAATTTCTATAATTCAACAAATATACTTTAGTACCTGCTACAACTGCAGCTTTTAACAAATTTAAAAGATCTTTAGTTATGAAACAAGTTTTTTTCACTTTTTTGTTTTGCAAAGCAACAAAACACCATTAACCAGTAACTTTTGAGAAAGGAATAGAGAATTACTTATGTCATGTGGTTTTCCCTACCCCACATATTTAAAACGTTTCTTTGGTTTAGGGACCCAAAACACTCCAGTTTAAATGTGTCTCTAAAATGAGATAAAAAGTACAGTCATACTCATGGCTGCAATACACAAAAGCAAAACAATAAGTAATCAAAGGGAAAAGGTATGTGGAATGAAGTGCACCAGACCAGGTGCAATCTTCTAAGTACCCTCGTCCCTGTGGAGTCACAAATGACAACAGAATGAAGTTCATTAGAGACTTAGTGTCCAAGGATTTCACTGGTAGTTAGTCTCACAGGCAAATTCTGCCTTACTCATGCCAACACTCCAGACTCCCAACAGGAAAACAGGTGCTCAGTATAAACCAGGCTATTTTCATAAACAGTCTAGTTACAGTGAGCCATTCTTAGACTACAGATGCCATCCAAGGGCCAACCTCACAGAGAGGCCTTTCTAAGGATAGCAGTCTCAAGTCTGCTATATTGATTCTTTTCTGCTCCACTTAACATGTAGCAAAAATAAACATTCAGACTCAGTTCTGCCAATTGGAGCTTCCTTGGAAAGATGCTCTTCTGGAGTATTGCACACATACCCTTTCTTGTTATCCTGCCTATTAAAATCCCACCTGAGCTTCCAGGGCTTCCCCAGGTCTTTCTTCTATGAATCCTTCTCTTCTAGTAAATATTATGTTATATACATACATATGTGTGTATATATACATATACATATATATACATGTATACACACATACACACCCTCTTGACTCTAAGTAATCACCATTGTGTATCATTCTCCAGAGCACATTTTCCTATGGAAATCTTCCTTTATAGTGATCACAGTTTCAGGCTATTCTGAAGGAAGAAAACTCAATATGTCATGTCTGCTGAGAAGTCCATGCTACCTGTGCTACCTGAGCGGCTGTGATGTTGCATTGTTCACCAGAAAAAAGCTGAGGATGGGACCTTTGTCCTCCATGGCTACCAAGTGCAGTGACAAGAGTAATGCAGCTCCAGCTGAGGACAATGGTGCTTCAGAGAAAGACATCCAAGGACAAGAAGGAATGCAAAAAGATTGGAAATAAGGATTTCACAATTTAAGGTTAATAGAATGCTATAATGTATATGGAGTGTCTGGCCAAATGGAGGCTAGACCTAGAAACTGCTCAGCATGGCAGTTCTTGTCACCCTGTCCCCTTCTCTTCTGGAAGTTCTTTGCTTTCTCAGTTTTCCACAACTGCCATTCCCAAAGCACCCTAAAATGAACTCAAAAATTTTTAGAATCTAGATAAAGTGTAATATGGTTAATAAAAATACCCGCCATGCAATGAGGGGGAAAAGAGACATTCTCCTTGTAAGTGGGGGAGGGGTGAGGTTTGCTGAGGAGTGAAGGGAGAGGGGATGGATAAGGAGGGGGGAAGGGGAGAAGGAAGAGAGGGAGGGGGGTTAAGGAGAGAAGAAGCCTAAGAAATGGCATGGTCATAGATAGTTTGAACAAACATCCAAGCCCAGAATTTATTCAATTCAACAAGAAGTCTAAGCACAGACAGTATTTGGTATTGGGGGGGGCGGGAAATGAGGTGGAAATATGGGCTAACAAGTTCTCTCACTGTTTCATTTCTTGTCTTAAAAAAATTAGAAATGGAGGCCAGGGATTACGCATGTTAATCTACTCAGAAGGCTAAAACTGGGATCATAGTTCAAAGCCAGCAGTAAAGTCCGAAAGACTCTTTATCTCCAATTACCATCAAAAAGCCAGAAGTACTCGTGTAACTGTAATCCCTCTGTACAGTATTTTCACAATAAAAAACTTACTTTAAAAAAATACAGGAAAAAAAAAGCCAGAAGTGAAGAAGCGGTAGAGTGCTAGCCTTGAGAACAAAAGCTCAGGGACAGCACCTCGGCCCTGAATTCAAGCCCCAAGACTGACAAGCCAAGAAGAAAAATAAAGAGTAGTAAAGAGTCAATGGTGGGTTGTTCTCTAGCTTGGATACAGATGGAAAGAGAAAGAAGCCAAGGACACATTGTATTCTAAATTTAAAATGAAAGTCTACTCTGTGATCCTATGGCTGAGACAGCCATTTCCAGGTGTGCTGGCTGCTCCACAGCAGTTATTCCCATATCCAAATCCTAAGTTTCAGGCTGTTCAGACAAGTGGCCTGCAGAAAATAACTCAGTGCTCCAAGTTGTGAATTAAGGACACTTTTGCTTCTGATTGGTTCCCTGCCATCTTTCTCGGCATCTAACTCTGCCTATGCTTCCTCAGGACAAGGTCCTGCCTAAAATTTGTCACAGGGCACCTACATAATACTGAGAACATAACACAGCATAAAAGGAAACTGAGTAAAGGACTACAGTATAGATTAAGGTAGACAAATGGATAGATGGTCAGACAGAATGATGAATAAACAGGTAGGTGGGTAGATTAGATGTAGATAGACAGATAGATGGTAGACAGACAGATAGGACAGGCCAATGTAGATATATCTTAACAAGACATACACAAAAACATTGAGCTAATAATAACAACAGCTACTATTCATTATTTTAGGATACACACAATCATTTTAGGAATTGCCAAAATTTCAGAATCCAGACTGCAGAGATGCCTTGAAATCCAATTCTCTTAACATATAAGCACTTCTAAACTGAACCCAGAATTCTTTAAAACACTGCAACGAGAAATCATGTGCCTTCAGGGACAAGCGAGGAGCCAAGTAGGACCCACCAGCAGCCTTCTCTCCCTTCCCTCACTGGTCCAGCAATGAGGGAAGCAGCAGCTGAGCCCAGCTTGAGCCACACAATAGATCTGATTTGAAAACAACAGTGCCAGCAAAGGACCAGATTGCTTTCTTTATAGTCTGCATAGCCTTTCTCCATGCCAGACATGAACACACCCTCCCCCAAAGCACAGACTAATAACCTCCTGGTATTAAATGAGGATGCTGGTTGAGAGTTCTGGTCTCAGAGATATCTAATTTGGGCTCTTCCTTTCCTGCCCTAGAGGGTTCCATTTAAAGCTATTTAGAAGAAAATCTAAACAGAATAAGCCTACAATTTTTAAAGACAAAATTAAGTATCTTCTATTCAATTTGAACAAAAGATTAATGGATGAAATATTCAAGGACTCCAGCCACAGTTAAAAGAAGGCTGCTCAGCCTAGCCTAGATTGTCTGGCTAAAATTTAAAGCCCTGATTTGAAATCCATCCCCCATCCTCCAAAAGTGCATTATACTACAGCTGAGAATTTTAACCTCATTTTAACTGCAAACCATGTCTTATCCCAAATGAATCCCTTTTTTCTGGGATTTAAGTATTACATTATGCTAGGTGGCCTTTCTAAGTACCAGCTCCTAGCAGAAATGAAACTAACAGAGGTGGACTTAACTAGAGCAGAGGTGGTCAAGCCAACATCCACTTTATCTTTCTCTGAGCAGAATGATGATTTTGAAAGATGAAGCATGGACCCAACAAAACCAGTCAGGTGAACACACACACAGTTCAGGGCAGAGATGTCAGAAACAAGGCCTCAAAAGCCACTTTTGGTAGTGCTCTCTTTATGAGGTTTACTTGTAAGGGAGCAAACATTTCTGAGAAATGCTTGGTTGTTTTTCTTTGTTTATCTTGAACCAGCAGTAACTGATTAGAAGGAGGAAGCTCATCTTGCCTTCTAAGCATGTCCCCTTGTGGGCTCCCACAGGGAGCGAAGGAAGCATCCTTTGGGAGTTGGTATATTTTTTGCTTTCTTTTCCAAATGTGAAAAAATGGAGGGAACAGTTCTGGAGTAGAATATACTCTGCATGAACGTGCATTATGTGTATAAAAGCGAGTTTCCACCATAATCAGTTCAGGATAAATGTATGGGCCTAGTACTAGGGGTCTAAGCCATCCAGATCTAGAGGTAACAAATATGGGGAATTCCTGAAAATATTTAGAAAAATTCTACTGTAAAATAGAATCTGCTTTCTGCCCCTGAAAAAATACTGTAGGAATAGCACCTGCTTTGTTGGGGTGCAGGTATGGTTGGGGAGCAAGTAACTCCCCCAACTGAGGAGATCAAGATTGCTCTATTCATAGGAAGGAGACATATTTGAGAAAATCATAAGAAAATAAAAAGGTGTGTGTTATATTTTGGAGGGACATATATCAAGTACTTTAGCAGAGACATTTGTCAATACAAGAAACGATGTGACATTTGAGGATTGGCATGGGAGACAGAGAGATCTATACTCCCTTATCACCCTCACTTCTAGATTTTTCTCCCCCCTTGACTGTGTATGAACCACAGGACAAAAGTCCTAGAAACTTCCACAAGGAAATGATAAACAGTTTCCTGTGCTTAACTCTTTGGGGACTGTAGATGAGTTAGGGTTTGAGTAGATGAGAAAAAGGGAGATCTCCCACCCCCAGGTCATTCTTTATTTTTGTGATTTAGAGGATGCCCTCCCTACCACACATACCAACAGTTTTGGGAAATTTTATGGTCAAGGTGATGTACAGAGGGATTACATTTACATATGTAAGGTAGTGAGAACATCCCTTGTCAAGCTTGTTACCCCCTCGCTCATTTTTCTCTCCATTTCCAAGGGCCTTGCAAAGAATAACAACAAAGCAAAATCTGACTTCCTTTTCTCTTGAGTCAGAGAAACAGAAACAACTGAAGGAATTCAGCTTGAGAAATTTGCACTGGAGACTTGAAACCAGAGTTGTAGAAGGTCAAGGGGGAAAAAAATGTTAACTGTTGAAGAGCCCTTTTACCATCCTGAACAAGGACAGCTCTGCCCTAAGAACCCCAGGGCTGACCCAGGCCTACAGGGCTGTGCCAGACTGCATGCTTTACTACAAAGCATCAGCTCAAACCAATTGTGTGGCTACACAAAGCAGGGCTTGTTTGTAAAAGGAGAGTTGAGAATGGAATCCACTATTCTCTCCTTACCTTCTTGAGGCCAAGGGCAGGTACTGGGGCCAGGGAAGCCTGCTAGAAGAAACACCACCGGATGTGAGTGTACAGCTGGGATGACAAAGCCCTGGCAATATTCAAGGGCTCTGGAAATGCACCAAGTCATGAAAGATAAGTCTTTCATGCAAAGTCTGCTTTCTAGAGGTCAAAAACACCTCGGAACTGAATTCACTACCCTGTGTAACTGGAAATAGCAGTAAGCCAATAACCATCAAAGGTTAGTAACTCCTATGTAGGAGGTATTTTTAAATACATCTTTTATTTTTTGCACTTTTTCTGTTGTCAGTCTTCAAGGGTTGTTTTCTTAGATCTCTAGTAGCTGTAGTGCAAAGGAAATAAAGTCTCAAGGAAGCAACAATAAAGAGCAGAAACACATCCACCTTACCTTCCGGGTAACTGCTGGATCCAGATAGCCTTTGAGCTTTTGGATGTATGTATGGGGGGGATTCTTCACCTGGAATCGTTCCTGCAGGAAGCACAAAAGAAAATAAACAATAGGAAGAAGAAAAGGTACAACACAGACATGTGGACAGAGGAATTCGATTGACCAGTGGTAGAGGGCAAGCCTTGAGCAGAAACAGCTCAGGGACAATGAATGCCCAGGCCCTGAGTTCAAGCCACAGGACCAACTATTTTTTTAATTAATATATTAATATATTTTTATTAATATATTTCCAGTGATTGAACTTTGTAAAATCTATTGCAACTTACACTGTGTTTTTTTTCTGTTATAACAAACATCACACATCTCTAACTTTCTAAAAGCATGAATAAAACAACAAATTCTGAGGTGGGCAATGCACTATTTGCTTCAAATCTTAAAATCTGATCTGTCAGAATTTGCTAAGAAATTGTGGTTATTTTCTTTTACACTATGTTCACTACAAAAGAGTCTTATTTGTTCCTTCAAAACAAAATTTGGCTAATGACTCAGGAGTTTCTTCAAATGTACACATTCAAGTGTACTGTTGACCTGACTAAATTTAATAAACTCTACTTTTAAAAATATGATTAGCATTCACTATTGTGACTTTAGGCATTTTTTTCATTGAAATCACTTGCTAGTATATTTCTAAGAAAGTAAAAATAAAGGCTAGAGCTTTATACACACACATCTATCTGTTTAAAAAAACAAAACAAGGAAGTGGTGCTGTAACTCAAGTGGTAGAGTGCTTGCTTTGAGCTGAAGAGCTGAAGGACAGCGCCCAGGCCCAGAGTTCAAGCCCCACAACCGACAAAAACAACAAACAAACAAAAAACAGCCTATACCAAGGGATTTAAAAAAAAGTACAAACAATTCAGGGCTCCAAGTATTTTCCTAAAAGTCAAAGTTGCTTGTTCACTTTGTAAAAGAGTTCCTGTTGAACAGGGTACTGATGGCTCATTCCTGTAATCCTGGCTACTCAGGAGGCTGAGATCTGAGGATCACAGTTCAAATCCAGCCGGTGAAGGAACATCTGTGAAACTCTTATCTCCAATAAACCACCAGAAAACCAGAAGTGGCACTGTGGCTCAAGTGGTAGAGCACTAGCCTTGAGCTGAAGAGCTGAGGGACAGAGCCCAGGCCTAGAGTTCAAGTCCCACGACCAACAACACACACATATACACCAAGGGTTCATGTTGAGTTATAAATTCTGTAGCTAACTCACCAACCTATTTAGACAATATTTAGGAGGAATATAACAGAATGGCCAGTACAAGGGCTAGAACTATGGTCCTGGTTGCTGTCCATTAGCTTTTATCATTCAAAGCTAATCTCTACCACATCTGTCAAATCTCTACTTCTTCGGGCTTTTCACTGGTTATTTTCCTGCCTAGGCTGGCTATGAACCACATCCTCAGCTCTCAGCCTCCTGAATAGCTAGGATTACAGGTGTGAGCCACCAGTGGCTGGCTAGAATAAATTCATTTTAAAAGACTGTTTGGGTAGATTTTAGGCATTTTATTTAAATGAATACTTTTTCTTCTATCAGAATTTTAGACTTTTCACTGAAACCAAATGCTGTCTTGTATGGTAGTCCTCCATTATCCTCACTTCCAGAACTGTGTCACAACCTACACTGTTTTCTATAACTAAGTCCTCACAATGATGCGCCACAGAATACACGAGTAGTAATTTAGTAAGTCCTAAACTTTATTTATGTTGGATAGAAATTTTACTCTTAAGGATGAAACAATACCCCTGGAGGGGAGTGCAGTTGTGGAGGTGGGAGGGAAGGGATGGTAGGGGAAAAACAAAGGAGGAGGCAACAATGCTTGATAAGAAATGTACTCATTACCTTGCTCATGTAATTGTATCTCCTCTGTACAGTATTTTCACAATAAAAACCTTATTTGAAAAAAACAGTACCCTTAAATTATTCAATGCAAACTAATATACAACCCAAAATAGGTTTTTAAAGTACGAAGTTCTTCACAAAATATCTCTAATAGCATAGCACAAACATCACCACTCCCTGCTGTCATTAATCTCCATGTGATTAATTTTCTCCAGGAAGTATGTTAGGATGGATAATAGCAATTGCTCTGGGTTTTTTAATCATTCCCCATAGAATTTAAAGAGCCCAAAGTCATTTATTAACATTCAAGTATTAGAACAAACAGCTACAGTAGAAATGGAGAAAAGAGTAAGAATAAACCAGAGAAACTTCATTAAGTTCCTTTGCTGTGAGGAAATTGTTAGGTTAATAATTGCAGTGTAAGTAACTCAGTTTCTATTCAGTACATCTCTCTAATCAAGACCAGAAAATTTCTTCTTACTCCTAATGACTCAATTATGAAAACTTGGGAATACAAACATCTTTGAATCTGTGGAACACTTTTTATTTTCCAAGATAAGCTCATCTTGAAATGACATTTTACTATATACTTCTGACCTCTTAGCCACTCTTTACTAGAAAAAAGACATTAACTCCATTTTATAAAGGACTTGAGAACCAGAGATTAAATAACTTAACCCAAGAAGGCATCAGTGGCTTGCATTGGTAATCCCAGTTACTCAGAAGGCTGAGACCTAGAGAATCATGATTCAAAACCTGCACAGGCAAAAAAGTTCCAGAGACTACATCTCCAACTAATCAGAAAAAACTACTATCTAAACAAGCAAGTTAAGTAAGCTCAAGGCCCTGAGTTCAACCATTAATACCAGCAACAAAAAAATTAAAAACTAAAAGATAAAAAATTATACAATCAGTCATATATGTACATATATAAATATCTGAGACATATTTTTCAGATCAGGTTTTCTAACTCTCACATCATTATTCTTTTAACTATACTGAAATAATATTTCTTTAAAAAAATTACTAGTGATATGTGCTTGTAATCCTAGCTACTTGGAAAGCTAAAGCAGAATGACTTCCAGCTATGCCCTACCAACTTGGGTAACATAGCAAGATTCTCAAAAAAAAGCAGCAAAGGTACTCACAAGACCATATTTTGGAAATGAACTTTACAACCTGGGGGGGGGGGGGAGGCAACTGGGAGAAAAATGAGGGAGAGGATTAACAATGTTCAACAAGAAATGTACTCATTACCATATGCATATAACTGTAACCCTTCTGTACATCACCTTGACAATAAAATTAAATTTTAAAAAATAAATAAAAGGAAAAATGGAATGGAAGGAGGTGAGGAAGAGGTAGGATGGAAACATGTTTTATTCTTCATTGAGTGTGTGTGTATGAAAGAGAGAAAGAGAGAGAGAGAGAGAACTCTGGGCCTGGGCGCTGTCCCTCAACTCTTCAGCACTACCACTTGAGCTACAGTGCCACTTTTGGTCTTCTGGTGGTTTACTGGAGATAAGAGTCTCATGGACTTTCCTGCCCAGGCTGGCTTTGTACCACGATCCTGAGATCTCAGACTCCTGAGTAGCTAGGATTACAGGCATGAGCCACCAGTGCCCAGCCTATATAGTTGTTTTTGTTTTTGTTTTTTAATACACTTTTAGCAAGGCACTGGTGGCTCACATCTGTACTCAGGAGGCTGGAATCTAAGGATCACAATTCAAAGCCAAGCAGGGGCAGGAAAGTCCATGAGACTCATATATCCAATTAACTACCAAGAAGCAGGAAGTGGTGCTGTGGCTCAAGCAATAGAGCACTAATGTCAAGCAGAATTGCTCAGGGACAGCACCTAAATTGTCTTTCATCATTATACATTTTTCACTAACTGGTCCCCAGGAAGTTGAATCTACCTACACATAGACCTTCCCTGCCAATAATAAAAAAGCAAAGTCATTTATTAGACTCCACTTAATGACTAGGATTCAAGTACACCACAACCAGAATTGGTAAACCAAGAGTATTTTCAAAGGAACTAAGTGAAAAGGCTGTGAGTGGGATTTACTTGATCATTTAGGTAAGTCACAGTAAATGGAGCTCATAGCAATGCTACAACATAACATTTACTATGTGAGACAGGTATCCAGCCTGTTCTTCCAAACAGCTAAACTATTTAGTTGGGCCTTCTCCTCCCATCTCCACTAAATCCAATAAAATTTCTCATAGAAAGTTTTTCTCTATAACGATTTGGGACTGGACATTCCTCTCATCTTTCAAACCATTCCTGATCCTTTATTCCCTCGTTATATGCGTATAAATGTATGAGAAATTGGGGTTGAGTATAAGCTAGATTTATAACAAGCATGCCATAAACATTTCTACTCCATTAATATGTGGATAAGCAGTCCTGAAAACAAATATTTCCTTCCATCTTAAGGTTTAAAGACATTTTAGCAAGGTATCTGAAAACAAGATATCCCCTGGTCATGAATAAATCCTGGCACACATGGTTACTACTGATTTACAATTGAATGTTGCTTTTATTTCTAGAAGCTGATTGAAAGTCTTCTTTAAAGGCTGAGAAACCAACTGGAGTATCTAAATGAGCCATAAGCACCATTGCCTTTAGTGAGGTCTGACTTGCAAGCCATACCTTGACTCTAAGTGTTGTTCTTCAGAGGTAGCTGGACAGGAATAACTGTGTCCTCAAGGAGGATTACTCCCTAAGATCAATAATGCTGACACAAGCAGACATAGAGGTAAGAATAATTAAATATTGCATGAATACTGTATATAGACAGAAATGTTCTACACAGTAATCCTAGTTACTTAGGAAGTAGACCTCAGGAGGATGATGTTTTAGGCCAGCCTAAGCAAAAGAGTCCACACACTCCCATCTCAAAAAAAAAAAAAAAAGTTAAGTATGGTGATATGTGCCTGTCATCCAGCCACAATAACCTAAATAGAGAGACTGCAGTTCAGGTATGCACCAAGCAAGAAGTGGGACCCTATCTAAAACATAATAACTACAAAAAGAGATGGAAGTATAAGTAACAAAAGAGAAAAAGGCCTTGAGAACATTTGCCTGGGAACCACATAGCCCATTACCACACACACACAAAATGACAATTATAGGAATAATAATAATCAAAATTCTGAAATTTCAGAGAGGTTGTGAGATTGT